GACACTACCAAAGTCATGTTTACTGAGACTGAAACTGTATCTGCTCTGAAAATGCAGTAGTATTAAATCCAATAGAAACATTTCGTTAAAACCAATCTTTGATTTTAACCAAATAGAAATGCATTGTGTAGAAAAGAATCAAAGAAACTTCTGACAGTATTTTCACCGCTTTAACAGTAACACCCAGAGACTGAAGATTCTGGCTGTCAAGCCTAAGGTATATATGATTCTGAATCTGAGTAGACCCTAGAAATACACTCTGGCTTTACAAGTTCAGAGAGGCCAAAGGTAACTTTGTCTATAAAGTCTCAGGGACAGTGAGTCAACATTACCCAGGTGGTCTCAATACTGACAGGCAATTCCTTAAACTGTTTTGTAGCCACTTCTCTACCCACCCAAACAAATGCCTGAAGGATTATCCATGCCTAAAGCTTCTTGTAGTTGGTCCCAAACTGATGCACACTGAAGAGTCTGGAGAGGTAGAAATTACTGAAATTTGCCTTTTTCTACTCTGTTCCTTGATATTCAAAGGAATATGCCTCTAGATTACTTTTCTTTGTTAAATCTTCACTGAATTTAAGACCCAAAGCACATTTATCTGTGTGCTTCAATTAAAAAAATAGAAGACCCAAAGCACTGGCTAAAAGGAATGTAATAAAAAAGAATTAACCAGTATTTTCCGTAACACATTCAATTCCATTAGCCACTTCTAGAAGCTCTATTACCCACATTTAAAAAGTGACCAATTTATCACTGTGTAAGAAAGGGCAATATTCTTAAAAATATACAGTCTAAATGTAACTTCAGAGGGAGGGGAAGTCTAAGCACCTAAAAATACAATTATTGTCTCTCACTTCCTCAAACTTCAGATAAGAAATGTAATTTTTCTAGCTAACCTTCAAGAAAGAAAGAAAGAAAAAGAAAAGAGAGAGAGAGACAGGAGGGAGGGAGAGAGGGAGGGTCGGTCATTTCTAGGGTTTTTTGTTTGTTTGTTTTTGTTTTGGGGGTGGGAAAGAGTCTCTATTACCTAGGCTGGAGTGCAATGGCGTGATCTGGGCTCACTGCATGCAGCCTCTGCCTCCTGGGTTCAAGAGATTCCTTCCTCAGCCTCCCGAATCGCTGGGAATACAGGCATGTGCCGCCACACCCAGCTAATTCTGCATTTTTTTTTTTTTTTTGGAAAGACGGGGCTTCACCTTGTTGGCCAGGCTGGTCTCGAACTCCTGACCTCAAGATCCGCCCACCTCGGCCTCCCAAACCGTGCCCGGCCAGAAATGGTCACTTCTGAATATACCACGTGTAATGCCAAAGGAACCCAAGATCCCTGCCCATGCCTAATAACTGCCAAACACCGACAGGCTTCACTGAGCTGTAGAGGCCAAATAAATAGGTTCCTAAACCAGTTTATCTTTTCATTCATTCAACAAATATTTACTAAGCAGCTATTTAGTGTAAGGCAGTAAGTATCAGAGACGTTCCCAGATACACTGCAGTGAACAAAGCCTTTGCTTCAGTGCTATGATCCTCAATGGGAGAAAGTACAGAACTGAAGAGGGTGCTGGGAAAATTTCAGAGGCTGGAGGAGGCTTTTTAGCTACCTGCTTCATTACACCCTTTAAGGGAGTATTCCTGAATATTTACACAAAGGGGAAGAAAAAAAAAAAAAAAAAAAGCATTTGTTATAAACAAGGAATTAAAGTCAAAACTTTGGAAACTACTGACTCGGCGGAACTTCCATTCTAAAGGTAAGAGAAATAAATAAATGAATAATTTATTTCAAAATGTGGTAAACACTACAAAGAAAAAAAAGGCGACATAAAGAATGTGCTCTAATAAAACCTGGTTCTCAGGGAAGGCCTCCCTGAATAACACGTTAAGTACAAGTAAACATTAACTCTCACACTACGCAGAACCAGAAGTACGAGGTAAAAACCGTCGTTGTTTAATAGAAGTTCACATCCATCCTATAATTCATATTAATGTTAGTAATTAACGAATATGGTCATCCCAGTTGTTTAGGAAATTAACAACAGGTAGCAAACCCCCTCGAGACTTCGAATAGTCTCTATAACCAAACTTGAAGCTTTTACCACGCTCGCTCAGTCTTTAGGAATCATTGTTCAGACACCTAAGGCAGCTGACAAAAGAGTCACACTCGCCCAGTGGCTAAGCTCGATCTGCTCTGGCACACGAGACTGAGCAGGGGCTTTCTCCAGGGGTGAGTGGGCTCAGAGGAACGAGCCACGAACCCGGCAGGCCCCGGGCGAGCGGGCGCCCAAAGCAGACGGCGGGGGCGTGGCGGGCCCAGCGCCTGCCTTTGTTGTCCCTCGTGGCGCGCGGAGGGGGAGGGGCGGCCCGGGGCCCGCGAGGCCAGCTGCCGCCTCCCGCCCCAGTCGCGTGGTCTCCCTGCCCCCGCGGGCGCGCGAACCCACCTTCTTGTAGTGCTTGCCCAGCCATACCCGCACTGAATCCAGCTGGGACACCGTCTCCGGGCTCTCCCAAAACTTGGTGGCCGGGCCCCCGTCTTTCCGCCGATAAACGGCCAGGCCTGCGGCTACCGCCGCAGCCCCCGAGCCCGTGGCGCCTACTGCTGCCCCTGGGCCGCCACCGCCGCCCGCTGCTGCGGCCATCGTCGCCGCCCGTCGTCCCCACCGCCTGGCCCACCCCGGCCCTCGCGGTGCTTCCCGTTCGCTCCCGCGCGCCCTTGCGCGCGCAGCCGCCACCACCGCCTGCCGGCCCCGCCCAGCCAAACCCCTTCCGGCGCGGACCCCCAGCTCCGCCCCATCTCAGGACTGCTCCGTATCCGACGCGAGCCCGCCCACACGCATGCGCAGTTATCGTGCGGCCCTGCAACGACTTCCAGTTGCCTCTTCCGCCAGCCTCCGTAGGCTGTGGACAGTCTCGCTTACTGAGCGCCGGTCTTTGAGCACCTTGCTCTTCTCTCGCTACAGACGTCCAATCATGATGGGTTCTGTGTCATCGCCTGCTCTGCTGGACAGAAAATGCCTGGTACAAGAAGTGCCGAGGGGAAAGCCTGTCTAGGGTATCCAGTGCTGGTCGAGGGCCCTGCGCGCGGACTGGGACTGCGCTGGGCTCCACTTTCCCGCAGACCCTCCACCCGGAGCGGCCCCGCGGCATTTTGAACAGCCATCTGGGACGCCCACGCCTGTACTTTATGGCTTCACAGACCTTCCCCTCCCTCAGGGCTCCAGCCACAGCGGCTCATTCCTGCCCCAGGGGCCCTGGCACCAACTGTTTCCGAGACTTACAACAGGTCTTCCCTTCTGATTTTCACTTACTAGACGCATTCAAATTCACTGCTTCAAAGCACTTCAGAAAGTCGTTGTCAGATCTTAAAATCTTGAACAACTATTCACAACCACACATTTTCTCGTAGCACTCACCACGACCAGGTGTTTCTAGTTTCTCACCTTCCACATAAATTACTTGAGAACCGAATCTTGACTTGTTCACAGGTGTATCCTGAACACCTGGGACAAGGAATAGATTTACAGTAAATATTTGATGAATTAATGAATGGCCCACATAGAAGCAGAATGATTATTAATTATTAACAAGGTATGAGGCCGGACACGGTGGCTCAAGCCTGTAATCCCAGCACTTTGGGAGGCCGAGGCCAGCGGATCACCTGAGGTCAGGAGTTCAAGACCAGCCTAACCAACATGGAGGAAACCCCGTCTCTACTAAAAAAAAATTAGCTGGGCATCGTTCTGGGCTCCTGTAATCCCAGCTACCAGGGAGGCTGAGGCAGGAGAATCGCTTGAACCCTGGAGGGAGAGGTTAAGGTGAGCCGAGATCGCGCCATTGCACTCCAGCCTGGGCAACAGCGAAACTCCGTCTCAGATAATTAATAAAAAAATTAATAAGACAAGGTATGATTGGCCAGGCACGAAGCATTTGGGGAGGCTGAGATGGAAAGATTGCTTGAGCCCAAGAGTTCTAGACCACCACCGCCTCCTCTGTCTCTACAAAAAATAAAAATATCAGCCGGGTGTGGTGGTGCAAGCCTGTGGTCCCAGCCTCTTGGAAGTCTGAGTAGGGAAAATCGCTTGAACTGGGGAGACCAAGACTGCAGTGACCTATAATCGAGCCACTCCACTGCAGCCTGGGCAACAGAGCGAGACCCTGTTTCAAAGAAATAAAAAGTATGATTGGCCATAATGGAGTTGTGAACATAATGCTATATGATCTCAGAGAAGTAGTAACTAATTGCTTATAAGAAAGTGACTAACTGCTATTAGTTTTTGAGACCTTTGAAAAATGAGTGCATGCACATATTCTCAGGATCTTCCGAGGGCTGTGTTATGGACAGTAATACATATTAAAAATAAATAAAATGAACGTGATCACGAGGGCCAGGCATGGTGGCTCACACCTGTAATCCCAGTACTTTGGGAGGCTGAGGTGGGTGGATCACAAGGTCAGGAGTTTGAAACCAGCCTGACCAACATGGTGAAACCCAGTCTTCACTAAAAATACAAAAATTAGCCGGCCGTGGTGGCAGGCACCTGTAATCCCAGCTACTCAGGAGGCTGAGGCAAGAGAATCCCTTCAACCTGGGAGGCAGAGGTTGCAGTGAGCCGACATTGCGCCACTGCACTCCAGCCTGGGCAACAGAGCAAGACCCTATCTCAAGAAAAAATATTGGCCGGGCGCAGTGGCTCAAGCCTGTAATCCCAGCACTTTGGGAGGCGGAGGCGGGTGGATCACGAGGTCAAGAGATCGAGACCATCCTGGTCAACATGGTGAAACCTCGTCTCTACTAAAAATACAAAACATTAGCTGGGCATGGTGGCGCGTGCCTGTAATCCCAGTTACTCAGGAAGCTGAGGCAGAAGAATTGCCTGAACCCAGGAGGCGGAGGTTGCGGTGAGCCGAGATGGCGCCATTGCACTCCAGCCTGGGTAACGAGCAAAACTCCGTCCCCAAAAAATAAATAAATAAATAAATAAAAATAAAAAGAAAAAAGAAAAAATATTGATCAGGGAGTGCTGTGGTTTGACTGTGTACCCAGAGTTCATATATTGCAAAAGTAATCCCCAATGCAACAGTGTTGAGAGGTGGGAACTTCAAAAGGTGATTAGACCCAGGCGCCTGTAATCCCAGCACTTTGGGAGGCCGAGGTGGGTGGACCACGAGGTCAGGGTATCAGACCATCCTGGCCATGGTGAAACCCTGTCTCTACTAAAATACAAAAAATTAGCTGGGCGTGGTAGTGCACGCCTGTAGTCCCAGCTACTCAGGAGGCTGAGGCAGGGGAATCGCTTGAATTCAGGAGACGGAGGTTGCAGTGAGCCGAGATCGTGCCATTGTACTCCAGCCTGGCAAAAGAGCCAGACTCCGTCTCAAAAAAAAAATAAAAAGGTGATTGGGTCATGGCCTGGCCTGGTGGCTCAGGCCTGTAATCCCAGCACTTTGGGAGGTGGAGGCAGGTGGATTGCTTGAAGCCAGGAGTTAGAGACCAGCCCAGCCAACATGGTGAAACCCCATCTCTATTAAAAATACAAAAAAATTAGCTAGGCGTGGTGGCATGGGCCTGTAATCCCAACTACTTGGGAGGTTGAGGCAGGAGAATCGTTTCAACCTGGAAGGCAGAGGTTGCAATGAGTGGAAATTGTCCCACTGCACTCTAGGCTGGGCAACAGTGAGAATCCATACCAAAAAAAAAAAAAAAAGCTGGGTATGGTGGCTCACACCTGTAATCCCAGCTCTCAGAGAAGCAGAGGGGGGAGAATAGCTTGAGCCCAGGAGTTCAAGACCTGCCTGGGCAATAGAGCAAGACCTGGTTCTCCACAAAAAGGAAAAAAAAAAAAAAAACGTCGGGCCTGGTGGCTCACACCTGTAATCTCAGCACTTTGGGAGGCTGGGGCGGGTGGATCACCTGAGGTCAGGAGTTTGAGACCAGCCTGGGCAACATGGTGAAACCCCATCTACTAAAAATACAGAAATTAGCCGGGCATGGTGGCAGGTGCCTGTAATCCCAGCTACTCTGGAGACTAAGGCAGGAGAAAAGCTTGAACCTGAGAGGTGGAGGTTGCAGTGAGCCCAGATCGAACCATTGCACTCCAGGGCTGCAAGAGTGAAACTCCATCTCAAGAGGTGGCCAGGCGCAGTGGCTCATGCCTGTAATCCCAGCACTCTGGGAGGCCGAGGCAGGCAGATCACCTGAGGTCGGGAGTTCAAGACTAGCCTGACCAACATGGTGAAACCCCGTCTTAAAAAAAAAAAAAAAAGAGGTGATTAGGTCATGAATGAATTATTCCTGTTATATAAAGGATGTGAGTTAGTTATCTTGGGAGTGGGTTCCTGATAGAAGCATGAGTTAGGCGTACTTCCTCTCTCCCTCGCTTGCTGCCTTCCACGAGTGGATGCTACAGCAAGAGGTCCTGTAAAGATTAGACTTCCTTGCCTCCAGAACTGTGAGAAATAAATTTCTTTTCTTTATAAATTAGCCAGTCTTCAGTATTCTCTTATACCAGCACAAAACAGACTAAGGGAGGAAAGGCACAGGAAAACAACTAGAATGAAAACATTGAACAAACCATGCTTGGTGAAACTCTCTTTAATCCCACGTGATAGAAGGAGAGATGAAATTTGTGGCAATTAATTTTGACTTTCTCTGTAAGCACTGGGAAGCCAGCTTTTTTTTTTTTTTTTTTTTTTGAGACAGAGTTTCACTCATGTT